GTGACATGGTGTAAATATGCAATCAGAAACTGACTCTTATACTTAATTTAAGTTCTATAACTTTACAGTAATTGTGAAAGCATTTGTGAAAATTTGATCTAGCCTGTAAACTGGCGTGACTCTTGTAACGTAGTTATTTGAGAATAAATTTATTGTTATTATTATTATAAAAACCCAATCTTTTCAAATTTTTGTCTAATTATGTACACTTCAGTTGAATTTACTTTTATTTGAAATATTACTAGTACATGAACGAAGTCTTTAGCAAATTTCGCCTTCATTTCTATAATGAAACTAAAATTTACCGTTCGGTGAGAATTCCCAAGTTCAATTTTTCAACAGTTAGTGTGGGAGTTTTTGCGAGCCGAAATTCGACTTTAATTCATGGAAGTAATAATCAAGTGTTGAGCTTATACGGGTTCGAAAAGTGCAATGAGACGACTGAGATTTTTCATTATGGATTAATGGAGATTCTTGAAGTTTACGAAATAAGGGATCGTTTATTGTTCGCAAACAAATAGTTAGCCGGAAATACGGGGCGACCGTTTCGTCCTAGTACTACACTCAGCAGCACCGGATTGATCTCCATAACTTTATGACGAAAAATCATTAAATGCGCTCACTAATGACCGGCATCGTGGGGAAACTCTAGAAGTTTTAGTGGAGAACCGTGATAAGAAGTATTTTCACAATTAAAGATCACGTGAAATACAAAACAAATATAGACCTATACCAAGTATTCTCAAAACAATCTACAAAACCATTCTGTTGTAAGAAGTGGAAAGTTCGATTATCATGAGGAGGGTGAATGGCAATTTAATAGAACCGGGAAGGAAAGCTTGGGACTGATTTGACTAGCGGACATTATCGGATTGATTATGAGTCCTCTGTATCCTGAAATCAGGTTTGAGATGATGAATTGTTCAAGCCTCAGCAGTGCAAATATTCCTTATCCAAACCTATACTAGGCTGATTCTCTTTATTTATCAGTTCTTTTTTGAAAGGCAATTCATTTTTTATCATGAGAGGTGACTAAGTGTTCAAGGGTTGAGATGTTGACTGGATTGTTTACTCAATCAGGTATCCACTCACGAAATCACATGGATATTCGTTTATGAAGTGACCGCTTTTTTTGGTCGATGTAAGTTGTTCCATAAGAGCGAGTAAACTGATAAAGACCATTTCTGGAGAAATAATTCTCAGATTCACGTGTTTAGACATTGTACCACTGAGCAATTATCTTTCCGTGACTATAGACTTCACCTGTAGTCCTCGTAGAGCTAATGTCGGTTCCAAGCTCGCATTGGGGGGAGGATTGAGAATGGAGTTGACAAAACTAACTCGCTATAATAATCTTACCCAACAAATAATTCAAACCATTTAGAAGAGCTGTGAAGTATCACAGGGAGAACAGTTAAACTTCAGAAGCCCCTAGACCGTTGATGCCATCTGATAATCACATTAACCATTCTTTCAAGTACGCGAAATGTTTGAACCGTGTGGGAGACCAGAACACTGTTTCAGGATTGTGCAAAGATCAAAAGATATAACCTGTAATCAGAGAAACATAATTTGGACAACTAGGTCTAGATTTGGGAGTGATGTTGATATTCTCAAGCTATGAGAAAGAAAAACATTTATAGGTGATTCAATGATATAAATAAACCACACCCAATAGGCGATAAGAGGAAGGAAATCTCATGGAACCAATATCATCTAAACATCCATGAAAACGAACAAAGACAGCAATAAAATAAACATCGTCCGATGATCTAGACCTGAGAAACAAGTCGGTAACAAGTAGAATATAGAGAAGCAAACAAACAGGTTAAGGTTAGCGTCTGAAACGACAAACGAGGGCACAGTAACAAGTAACATTAAAGCAGAGTGAAAAAGGTGGGTACAGCAGTTTTAGGAACTGTTGAGGTCAAGAATCACACTGAAAATACTCAACATTGAAGCGGCATCCACACACCTCCTGAAGAATGTCAGTACACCGGCAACTGGAGAGATCAGAAATGGTCATCAGACAAATCAACAGTGGCAAAGCAGCGGCATCGGACAACATTCCGTCACCGGTTGTGATAGCAGACGTCACAGCATTTGAAAAATTCTTGCACATTCTCTGACCCAAAATTCAAGCAGAAGGACAAGTACAACAGACTCATAAAATACCAAAAACAGGCGATCAAACCAAGTGTAAGAACTACTGAGGCATAACAAACCTCTCAATACCAGCAGAATTCTTCAAGAGAGTGTTGTTAAACAGAATTAGGGAGTTCGTAGACATTCATGTTCCAACGCAAATGGTTGGATTTCGAAAGGTTCGATCGTGAACCGATCAAGTTGCAGGATTATGGATTGAAGATGGATATTCTACCCTAGCCGTTCACTTTGTTTCCATTAGGTGCAGGTTGGCACTCGACATCCTGGATCCAATGGCAAAAACACAATAATTCTGAGGGAAATCGGTCTATTTTCATTATAAAATGGAAATACAAACATTTACCCAACAATTGTTACACCTTCCATGTCCAAATTATCCTGATGAGTATCCGCTTCTGGAAGAATAAGTGCTTCCAGTCCAAATTGCTACAGTATCAAATCCAAAATAGCTGTAGCCATATCAAATATCAAATTTAAACAACATATGTACAGTTCAGAAGCAAACATAAAAACTTCAATATAAGTACAAAATATAGAAATAATAACAATACACAATGATAGAATCTCAAAATGGAATCAAATAGAGTACCAAAATGTCAACAGAAAGAGTCAGTCATATCATAAAACAAATATATATACATGGAGGGATTTTCCAAAAAACAAAACATTGAAAAAAGATTCTACACGAATCATTGCGGAACAATCGATTGAATGGAACTGCTTATAAGTAGTATATAACATGAGTGTCAACCTAAAGTCTGGTAGCATAATATGGGTGGGAAGATCAGGAAAGGAAGAGTTAGAAAACAATGGAATTTGTATGAAATGCATGAATAGTGACAATGGATTGATGTTTGGCAACAGGAACAGTCCAGTTCCATAGGATGAACTGATCTTTTGCAAATGAACGATTTTTGATATGATTTTCCTATTTTACTGAGTAATTCTGTAATTTTCGTTAAATACAATTCGGTTGACCCACATGTGTTCTCATTCACTACATTGACTACAAGAAAGCATTTGATAGCGTGGACAGGACAACACTATGCAGGCTTCATCTACTCTATTGTGTGCTACGAAAGATAATCAGCATCACAAATTTTTCTTACGACGAACTGAACTGCAGCTGGTAAGGTAGAAGCGAGGGATATACTGGACAGTTAGGATACAGCTGAACTAACTAGACCTAGCAGATGATAGAGGTAACCTATCGCAAACGGAAAAACAGATAAAATGGAGACGAACAGCGCAGCAGTTTTCTCAGCAGCAGCGGCAGCAGAGATCAGCATATATCAAGGGAAAGTCGTGATTCGCCGATACAACACAGCATGAACCAACGCATTCACATTTGGGGTAGCCTCTGCGGAGAATGCGAAATCTTCTAAATATCATGGCAGCATTATCGATGAGTGAAGTGAGTCTGATGCATCTATGAAGGCGCCGATCGGGAAGGCGAAGGATGTATTTTTCAAGTTAAATAACGTCTGGGACTCAAAACAACTATCAACAAACACCAAAGTCAGCATTTTTGATACGGATGTCAAGTCAGTTCTAATTTATGTAGCAGAAACCTGTAGGAAAAAGGGGCTCAGGACGGGGTAGGTTGGAGAATGCTAGTCGGCGGCCTTTGCTCTTTTGTGGTTTTTGTTGATGTCATGTTGAGGCTCAGGAGATGTTACTGAAAAGAACTTTGTTCGATTTGTTTCTGTATATATTGATCTCTGTTTGATTACAACTATCGCTACGAACTGTAAACAGTAGTGACGATATTAAAAGATATAATACTGTACCACTTTTCTGTTTATGCTTCTATATGGATCTGGCATTTTGGAACATTTCTAAGATTTCTCTGCTGTCATCTTTACAGGCGCAAAAACGTTGTATATCTTTGACAAAATGCATGTCTATCATCAACTTGCGCAAATTGATTGACGGGTTTTGCTAAAGTGAACTGGACCAATCAGCACTTCTTATCCATGATCTTCACACGTGCGTTCGCCAATCCTCAACACCTCTTGGTCGGCATAGAACAGCGTTAATATCTAACTTCAATCAGGCAACCGTTTATTGAGAATTATTTGTAAACCTACCGAAATTTCGTTGGTTGCTAACGTACACCTAACAAATGGTTGTGATTATCAGATTCGAAGCAACTAATTTTTCGGTATTGATTCAATAGTCTTCCGGATATGCTGAGAATGTTGTACGTAGCGTTAATGATAATGATAAATGGCACTATATTCATCTATACTTAAAGTGAACTAACAATTATATTATTCGATAGTTATATAATTGAGAATACAAATTATTTTGAAAATATTATCTTGATTCAAATGAATAAAAGTGAAATATAGTTATATTTCAACAGGTTTATTTGATATCTGAATCCTGGCTGGTTGACAAGGTGGCCTGTTAGAATATTTCAGCTGCCTGTTTCGTTCCATCATGAAATTTTTAACACGTCTTATTTTAGCACGTCAATTATATCTGTTCATTGCATAATCTGTTCTGCTGCGTATGTTAAAGTGTTACAAATATAGCGTTGTGACTGATTTTCCAAAGGTGGTCAATAGCCGCTATTTAAAAGCAAAACATAATTTACATATTTTAGTGATCAGTTGAAAGATTAATTGCGCCTGGTACCACTCGTCTCGCATAGTCTGTCGACCAGGATTTTCCCAACAACTTCGTCATCCGCTCTCATTTACAGTTTTATCCAATTGTGGTTCATTGTTTTCATGAGTGCCTCAAATTCTCTAAGTAACTTGTCCGTCGAAAATTGTGCATTTGTGCCAGTTGATATTTAATTTGACTTTCATATGTTCTTCGATATTTTATATGCCCTCGTTTAGCTCATCGATGTCGTCTTCCAAACTTTCTGCATCATGTTTGATTTGGTCTGTCTATGTTGTATTAAAATAAGTTTTCATATAGTGACACTTTTCTTATGAATGATGTTAATAGTTTTCTCCAGATTGTTGTTGTTTAAACTCTACCAATTTACACACCAGATCTGTTCAAGTAATTAGCATGCAAAGTTGATGTTTAACCTGTACAACTAATCAATAATTGAAGTCGAATTCGAAAATGTAAATCACACATATATTCATCACAGAATCAAATTAGAACCATCAAAACATAAAATATTTTTATATCATCATGTTTTGATGCACGAAACAAGTGGGAATACCATTTACTCAACCGTTATGATGATTACTTAATATGTTATCTCCAAAAGTTCTACTTATAAAATTATCCATTGTATATTCATAGACTCCACCGATATCCACTGTTCGAGAGCAATTTACGAAAGTTCGAGGTAAACGGAACAAGCTACGACTCATACGTGAAGAAATTTGTATAAATCGCTTTTCTCCCTAATATTTGTGCTCATGATGATGCCAATAAGAAGCAGAACGAAGTTCACAACCGAAACATCTGGCTAATAAATGAAATTTCACCACAACAGATATATACTTAAATGATATGTTAAGTCGATAATATTGTACAAAAATCCAAGTGTTCATTAAACATACCATAGAGCGATTGCCTAAATATATGAAATTACTAAACTGAATTGAATAATTATTCACTATATTGGTACCATTATAATAAGCAAATAAATATTCAATGTATCCATAATACAGTTTATTGAATGATGGACTAAATAAATTATTCAATAAATTGTGATTTCCTGGTGATAATATCATCACCATATCAATAAACCATTCATCATAAAGACAGTAATTTGAATTATCTGCAGGATATGGTCGATAAACTTTCACATCAATATTTGTTGGTGGAGTTATAAAAGCCTATAGAAAGAAAGAAAGTACTTTGTACAAGTATATGATTGAGATTTTGTTCAAAATATATATTTATAATGAACTTGTGTTAGTTTAGCGAACGATGCAAAATGTGAATTTGTAAAACACATTTCTGTTGAAAATTAGCAAAACTACAGATACTGATTGAACAATATTATTGTTTTAAATTCGATCGTCATCATGCTTTATTCTAATGTACGCATATATGTACATATGCGTGGACGTTTGTTCTTTCGGTGGAGAAAACTTATAGCTCCGGTGGATGACTGTGTTGAATTGATATTATTCCACCTTACGTATGATATTCATTTCATGTAGGTTTATATAACGAAATAATGGTGTAAAATTTCCGATTCATCATTGTTATTTGTCATTCACGTGCAATTTGACAAAAACACTGTGTGGTACAAAAATGTTTTTACTTCAACAATGATCAATTTAACACCTACATCATTTAGATTACTGCATATATTGAAAACTAAATTTTCAAAGCGATAACTTCATATAAAATATATTTGTAAAGGGATTTACATTCCTCAGCGAATTGTTTCATCCGTTCAATGTTCAACTTTCAACCAACATAGTTAACTGTCATTTGATTTATTCTACATAATTTATTATTAAAATAAGTCGAAAGTTCAAAAAATGTAGGAAGTATTATACTCTATACACTTTATATGTTCCGAAATGTTATCATTGAATGAAAAGTGTTTCATAAAATGACAGTATCAATCACATCTTTCAATAGATATTACTATTCAGACATCACCAAAGAAATTATCTTCGGGACCTTGAAACATTTGGACGTCGATGTTGTTCTTAAAATGACAAAATTACTGAAATCCATGGTCGAAGCTGGATAACAAGTCAAATTGAACAGGAGGGCAGTAAAATAAACGAGGGTAACCAGTCACAATCAAACCTACCAGGGCCAAAGTTAATGAAGACTAATAGAACAAAGTAAAAATATCACTTCTTTGTGAAGCAATCACCATCGAGGTTGTCTAGACCGACAACAAAAGCTTTTCGATCACAGATTTCAAATATATCGATTAATTATACAGTTACACGATTTTGAGCCATGTCACCGAAAACTGCTGGAAATAGTTTATGATGGTCTGGAGGACCTCAACCAGGTAGTCATCACCCACCGACATTTCGCAGTCCGATAGTCGGTGACTTTATATACTGATAGCATTCCTCAATTTGTTCACCCTTCATCCATATAGATTATATTTGTGAGTCACGTCTCAGCGAGTGGTACTTGAAGAAGACCACCCACTTAAGTAAGGCCACTGGTCAGTCTTTCACCTCACATGCTAATTCATTGATTTGTGTAGCGCATAAATACTGAGGAGCCCTTATGCACTACAAATTATGTGCTTCAATGAGAATTTAAATAAAAAAGCTTGGTGTTCACTTCGAAATTATTTACATTATCACAGGTTGATTTGTCGTTAAATTGACAAACCAATTTCAAAACCAGTTGCCAGTTCACCTTTGATCGCAATCCTTTTATTACTTTGAAATTCATCACTTAGGTTAAGAATCTATTTTCTGAAACATTTGCATTGTATTTTGTGAAGTAGAGTTGACCAATAAAGTTGTTTTCTCATAAAGTGTTATCCCTCAAAAAAAGACTTCACGTTTTTACTCAAGTGTCACTGTTTATAAGTGACATTATTCAGTCACTTGATAATAGTGATATTAGATATGAAATTCATGATCTACCCAGTAGTTTACCCACGGTGATATACATATCAGTGCGATGTTGTTTGAAATGAAATAATTACATTGAATAAATGTCATATCCTCTTTACAACAGCACTCTATGTTCCTGTCTTCTCATCAAAATACCTTTCATTGATTAGAATGTTGACCAATGCTTCATCAGACACATTTAAAGAATCATCCACATTCATAACAGTTTCTTGGGAGATAAACGGAAATTCATTCTTGATTTCTTCATAAGTACTATTCACTTTCAAAATACCACTTGTCACATAAACAACCTCAGGTAAATATTTTGTCAATGATTGTTTAATACTGAACATCAGATTTCCTCATGACTCTATTGAAGAGTTATCACCATCCAAAGAGAGACGACCAAAAATGGGCCCATTAAACTATACCTAATTAGTTAGAATGGTTTATATTTTAAAATGAAAGCAAACAATTTAGTGTAACGTGGATAATAAGTCTCAAGTATTAACTGTGAATTGAATTTATGTACTCGATATACTTTACAATGATGTTAAGAAAACTTAATTGGGGATTTCAACTAAAACAGTATAGAATTTGATTATTATCTATGTTGATAAATTCAGTTTGCAAAATGCAATCATCTTTAAAAAGTTTGAAAATGAATCATTCATCGATATTGTCTGTTTGAATCTCATTGTTGATACATCGGATTATAAATGATCATTGTTCGTTGGCTTATGTGAATTCAATGTTCTGGTTGTCTTGCATTTTAAGTAGAGTTGAAAGTTGATCATCAGTAACAGAAATATACAAAGGACCTATAAAACTGTGTTAAGATTCACCCGATTGTACAAGCTAAAAAAAATGGCTGACGCGTGAGGCATTCGAAACGAATAGTACTGATTTCCAGTTCACATGTGAGCACCAACATTACGGTCTAGCTTCATCAAACTGACGAATTCTGAATAGAATGAAATGTGCATAATGCATATCACTGCCAACTACTATTCAATTTTGTTTCAGTCTCCAATTATTATTATTATTAACACTACTATAAAGCTCTGTTGTTATGGAGTTCTGAGTGATACGTAGAGGCAAATGAGTGACAGATCATTATAAGTAAGTACCTAATTACGTAAGTTAGTGCTCCGTTAAAGTCATAAATTAGGAAGATTTTTTACTGTTGAATAATTAATTCAAATTATTTTTTCAATCAATATTAGCTAGTCTGTGAATGTTTGGCATGATTATGGAATGGTTTTAACTATTAAGTGCTCATTTTTACCATCGGACAGATATTCTAGATGATACACATTTAGGTGAAACAGTCTGTTAACATTAAATCGACAAAAAAGAGTATTCTTTTGAACCAACAAAACATTAAGATCTCATTCTTTAGGAATCAAAGTCTCAGTCAAAAACAAGGAACAAGATAATTGTGATTGAAACATCAAGACAGTTGAATGTGAAAGTGAAGGAACACATACTTGACTGTGAGCACATTCTTAACTCCTCTAATTACTTGAAAAAATCTACAGCACAAGTAAGCGTTGAAATAGGATCTTATCATAATGAAACAAGAATTCTCCAACAACGTCCGGTCTCATTTAATGAAAATTCCACAGCTAAAGGCCTACATATATGGAGTTATGCAAATAATCTCATTAGGAGAGATTGCATTTAAATATCTTTCCGGTGGCATATAATAATTAATAAGTAAACTTGCACTATCTTGTTATCTGTCCACTTACTATGAGAATAACAACGATAATGTCTACTTGCTATGATCATTTGAATGTAGTTGAGTAAGAAATTATTTCATCAACAACTGCGACGCAAAGTTTATTTGTTTACATTTCTTCAGTTAGGACGTTCAACCGAGTTCTAGTAGGAATTCGTGACCACTGTAGCTCAACCCTGTTCAAGTTTAAGGCAGTGCTCACCAACGTCAGTAAATTTGGTTGTGCAAGACCGTGGATTGATCAAAGTTAGTCAATAACACTATTGTATCGCGGCTCAATTTTGTACAGGTTAGTCGTTTACGCAAGAAATCGAAGGATCTATGTTCCAAGCCCTCGAACAGCAGGATCTGTGTATGAGCACTGCTGGCATTGCTTGTTGCGTATTTCTGGATAGTGACCTTATAATTCTTATTCTGGTACTACAGCTTGCAGTAACGTTTTCTATTGCGGTGTTTTCGTACAATGGTATCAATCAGGGCTACTCACTATCTACATTGAGATGCGACAGATATACTCATCAGTCTGAATAAAAATTCAACCCACTTCTGACGCACTATGAAGCGAATTTTTTGACTCTTAGTTGTGAGTTTCGTATATTAATGAACAACGTTGATTATTATTAGAAAGTCGTATGTCGCGGGTTACTTACCCATGTGCAGAGCGGCTGACGCTCTCTACTTACAAGTTTCCAATGATGGTTTAACATTGATTGGTTCATGATTTCAATGAAACATCAGATTAGTGTTATACCATGTTTCACTCATCAGAAGATAAATAACTGTACAACATACATATCAGTATGCAGCGAATTATTGTAGATGTTTAAAATTAAAGATTATAGATTAAAGTCTGTTAATTATTGTCAAAGTCTAATCATATGATTGATTGATGATTAGGAAATGTGCTTATAAACTTGATCACTAACATATAATTCGGAAAGTTTTTATATGGTGTAAGAGAATAAAAAATTTCGTATCCGTACATTAAAATATCAAACGGAATGAAACATTCAATGAAACAGAATACTTTTAATTATTAGATGGTGAAAACAGTTGAAAGTCATTGAAATCTTGTATGCCTAATGAAACATCATGTCTTCACTAGTGACTAGCTCAATGAAGAAATTCTCAGAGTTCTTGTACGAAATCGTGACGATCAAAATCCAACTCAGACGAAAGTGATCCAGTGACCCATTCAAGATATCGGATGGTCGTACAGTAATGGGGACTGACTGTAGTATGTATGCTATTATCAATGTAACATAGAAAGCCGAGCAGCAGTTCAAGACTCGGCGTAATGTTTTCTTTGCCGTTTGCCTTTTCCTTTAACTTTGAAGATTCCAAGTGAAGGATTGCCTCGTGTCTCAGCTATGTGCTGTAAGCAATGTGTGTCATATCCAATACCAGTGCATTCTTCTGATTTCCTCCTCCACTGGAATCTGGTTTACCCTCTCGCATTACAGGTTCCTGCTGATGGTGTCAGGCCAACGGATCCAAAGTATTTTGTGAAGACAACTGTTGATAAAAACTTGAATCCTCTGGATAACAACTTCGATAGTCTTCCAAGTTTCTACCCCATACAGTAGGACAACTGACTTCACGTTTCTATTGAAAATTCTAACTTTGGTGTTTGTTGATCGCTGTTTTGAGTTCCAGATTTAGTTCAGTTGTAAAAATGTAACTCTCAGTTTGCTGATTCAGGCAAAGCA